AAAAGTAGAAGCAGTCTGATTTTTTAAGTAACTAGAATATGAAATTCAGACACAAATTATGTAACAATGAATAGATGTTTAAACTTGAAGATTAAATTACTATTTCTAAGTAATTGTTTGCAAGTTTCTATATCTTAACAATTGTTCTAAATAACAATGCAAACTGAAGGAGACCAAATTATCTTTTCAGGGAAAGAATACCAAAGTTTACCTTGGAAAAGGGCCAGTTTTAGGTAGGGGGTGTTTATGGCCTGGGGAGTTACTGTAGCAATAGAAAAAGATTAATAATTTGCACATGTGAGATTCTTGGAAGGCAGGATACAGCTGTAAAGAATTAACCCCTCTTGAGAGATGTAAAAACACAGAGCAGCTGTTGGGAGGGACTAAAAACTATTCAGGCTACACAAGTCCTCAAAGTGAAGCCGAGAAAGTGCATTTGGGGACTGACAAGCTTTTGTCTTTGCTTATAAAGGGGCAGATAATTTAAAAAAAATTTTAAGACAAAAGGAGCCAATTGTGCCCAATTAAGATGTATTATTGAATGTTAAGTAAGCACTACAATGAGTTGTTCGGAGAAGTCTAATTCTACAATGCCATGCTCAAGGCAACTTACAAATGGAGCCTCTCGGTTAAAGGAAGGTGTACATCCAGATGATGATGTCCTTCACCTTTAACTTTCTGAAATGTCCTTTTATTCACTGGCAGAGGCTAATTTTTCAGAATACACCTATCCCCACCCCAAAAGGAATCAAATTAAAATATTTTGTCCATGGCTAAATGAGAGGTCCAAATTCCATTTTAACTGAAATTTGTGGTTGCTTTTTGCTTCATGGGAGAGAAGAGTGGCTACCATGCTTCAGTGAAAGCAGCCCAACATAACTTTTTTAAAGATCTTAAAATGCAGGTTTAAAGAGTGAAGATATTGTTGAAAACATTTTATGAAATCTCCTTTAAGTAAACCTCATTTGTGATTCCAACGTTCTCTGAGCTGGAAGCAGATATGGAAAAAATACATACCTGACAATGTATAATTCAGTACCTTTGTGTTTTCTTCAAAATAATAGGTCAGTGGTTCTCAAAGTGTGGTCTCGAGTTCTCTGGGGGTCCCTAAGACTCTTTCGGGGGCCTCATGGGGTCAGACTTATGTTCATAATAATACTAAGAATTTTTTTCCACATTGATTATCTCATGAGTATTCAGTGGACTTTCCAGAGGTGACATGACATGTGATGACATCATCATACTGGTGGCTAACAGAATGTGTGTTTGTGGATTCTCGTGTTTTGGGGGGGATTTTCTAAGTAACCTCTTGAGGTTATCAATACTTTTTAAGAGTATAAACAAGTCTTGAGACTAAAACATTGGAAAGCTATTAAAATGTAGTTACCTGGCTCATCTCACAGCAACATCCTTGTCCATTCCTTTGACGGTTTCAGTGCATTCTGTGTACTGGTAGACATAATGCAGTTGCCATTATCATGATCTAAGAATATAAATATCTGTTACCTGTACACTTCAAATTCTGTCCTTAGCAGCATAACCTATACAATCAATAAAATAAATTGGTACGTGTCAATAGCATATGAAGTAGATACAAGTAGAGCTGGTATCTGGGAAGTGGGAAATAGACTCCTCCAGATCTTCCTGGGCTTCTCTTGAAACATTGTGAAAATCTCCATTTTAGATTTTTCATATGTGTGTGTGTGTGTGTGTGTGTGTGTGTGTATCACATAGAGAGACAGAGAATGGGGGGGAGAGAGAGTGATTGTGAGTGTCCATGTGTATTCTTCTACACTTATAATCCTATTTGGTTTCAATAACAATCTTGTGAAGTATAAAAAGAGACATTATCCCATTATACATACAAAGAAATTGAGAGTCTCAGAGAGAGTCACACACCTATATGTGACGAAGGTTAGCTTGACACCAATATCTTCGATTCCATGTCCAGGGGTCTTATATCTATTCCATTCTGGTTCTATTTGGCATTTCAAACTGTTCCTAAATTTAAGTCTAATTTTTATAATTATATATTTAGCTCTCTTCTTCCCTAGGAATTGAGAGAGAAGAGCCCCTTTACTCATTCGGAGTTTTCCTCAAGAATTTTCTTCTGAAACCTCACTTGGGCAAGCACCTCAGTGAAGATAAGATCCACTAGGGAGTCTTCTGTTAACATTGCCCCCCAAACAGAAACAAGCAAGCAAACAAGAAAACAAATATGACAGGGAGAATAGGGGAGAAGTAATCATTCAGAAATAGGTATGCCCTAAGATGACCATGATTTATGCTTAAACTCTCCTCCTTTCATTTCCCAACCGGTCTACCATCCCTTTAGTGGGCATATTGTAAATTGAAAGAGAGAGGTCTTGAGAATTTGATTTCTTCATATATCACACACACACAGGAATTATTATCTGAGGTTTTTAAAATAACTTATTTTAACTGAAGAGTATGCCTATGACGCTCCTATTTCAGGGATGTAGATAAATGCAACAGGGGGAATAGCTTTCTAGAGTCACGAAGGCAAGAAAACAGCTAAACAATGTTAACAATTTATAAGGCTAATCTATATTACCTTTGATTTAATCACCATGCTATTTTCCTCATGAGGAGTTATTACTAAACCATCTTTCTCTTTCCAACAAATTCTCCTTCCTTCCTCAACCTCCACCACCAATACCTCCAACTTTTATCTGCAGCTTAGTTATGTGTTTGGTGGAGGAATAGGACTTCGACAGCAGTATGATCTTTTTGAGGAATAGGTCAGTCTCCTACTGTGTTGGAATCTGCAACCTTCTTGGGGTTGCCTGGCCCAGATATTTTTTGCTAGACCAAGAACTGAACGTGGTCATTATTTTCAGACTTCAGAGAAACATTCACAAGCAGGTCTGATCTATCTAAAGCAACATTAAAAGCTCCTGAATACCATTCCTATTAACCAGTGTATTTCTAATAATTTCTCTTCACTGAAAATAGCACCATGCACAAATAGAGGAATAGAAGCATTTGTCAAGCTGTGTCAGTTAATAGAAACTCTAATATAAAGATTACAGAATGTTCAGGGAAAATTAACCAAATGATTAAACACAATCCTATGTTTAATTAACACAATAATGTTTTGCATACCAACTCATTCTATTGTCTAAAACAGCATTTATCATACAAAATAGATTAACATATATAATATTCTTTATCACAACGGTGTTTTATACTATTTACCTAATGTACTATTAAAAGATAAACAGGGGCATATTAAAATTTTTAAGAGCTTATTTGAGCAAAAATCAATTTGAATCTTGCAGCATCCAATCTAGCAGATAGAAGGGAGCTCTGAGGAGCTGTATAAAATGAAAGACTTTTATAGGCAGAGTGGAGCAGGAACAAGGAAGTTATTTATATTAGGCAAAAAAGCAGGTTGGTTATTGCAAGGTTACTTTCCTTTAATGGATGCCTGTGGTCTATAAGGCTGATTACCTGACTAAAGCTAATCAGGCCATTCTTGATTGAGTCTTTTAAGATCTATTTCTAGGAAACCCAAAACTGTATTTGTCTCGGTTTAGTGATGTTTTAGCATAAGTGACACCGCTTTGGGTCATTGTCTTGTTTTTAACAGTACACAGGACCTTTGTAAGGGAAGTAAACCTTACTATCCCATTTTATATATGATGATCATAGACAAAGTAGTTAAGTAATATTCCTGCAGTCATATCCCAATCACTGGTACTGCTGAAATTAGAGTAGAGGGTTTTTGCTTTCTAGTTAGGTTCTTAAGGTTCTTTGTTACCTTGAAATTATTTCACTATCAGAAAAGTTTCTGTTGCCCAAGGCATTGTTTACTGAATATCTACTATGAGCCAGGGACTTTTATACATGTTGTCTCATTAAATCCTCATAAACCACCTTGTTAAAAAATGATTATAGGTGAGCCCACTAAAGTTCATAGATGTTAGGTAATTTGCCAGGTTTGAACATGACTGAATCAAGATTCTGGGCCCAAGTTCAAGAATCTTTCTTTCACTACCTTGCCTCAATTTCTTCTATTACAAGTTTAAAAAGAAAAAAGAAACAGTTCTGCAAACAATTACATATAGCAATAACCAACACAGGATATAACGTATGGGGTCTCTTGCTGGCTCAGTCAGTAGAGCACGCTGATCTGCCCAGCTTTAAGACTGAACCCCATTTTGGGGGTAGAGTTTACTTAAATATATATATATACCGAAGGGAATCTAACAATAATTTAAAAAAATTTTTTAATGTTTTTTATTTATTTCTGAGAGAGAGAGAGAGAGAGAGAGAAGGGGAGGGGCAGAGAGAAAGGGAGACACAGAATCTGAAACAGGCTCCAGAGTCTGAGCTAGCTGTCAGCACAGAACCTGACACCGGGCTCGAACCCATGAATGGTGAGAACGTGACCTGAGCCGAAGTCGGCTGCCAACCGACTGAGCCACCCAGATGCTCCACTAACAATTTTTTAAGGAAAAAAATGATACAACAAAACCAAAACATAGTAAAAATCAGTTACTAGAAAGACATGAGAAGAAATTTAGAACAACTGATTTCAAAGCAGGGATCAAAATTTAAGAAATACATACTGATCTCTTACTATATCAAGAATTATGCTAAATCCTTGGCCTCATGAAGTACTTTCTAGAGTAATTTTAATATAAAAAATAAAGATAAATGAGCAAGAAAAAGAAACCGGTAAGGAGACTAAAAACATGCAGGTAGAGAAGGAAAGGAGAACCGATTGAGTTGGGCAAGGAAAGCTGTGTTGTGTGTTTTACAGTCAGTCTCCAGTATGTTTAAAGCCATAGATAACGAAACCTTGTTAATTTTCATTAAGGCAGACTAAGTATTATTTTCAGGAGTGGTTGTTTTATCTCTGATTTATAAAGGCATAGAGCCAAATGGGTCCACAGACAGCAAAACCCGAACCCTCCCTCGGAAAAGGTCCGGTAGTCTCCAGTGCTTTCTCTAATTGGCACCCTCAGCCTCGGACAGGAAGTCCCGCCCTTCACCGGAAAAGATGGAGGCTGGACTCAGATGGAGGCCAGAGTTGGTAAGATAAGGCCATTAAAGTTTGCTTAATTGTAGTTAGGGCCTCTTGAAATGTAACGTTTTTATTTTTCAGGTCCGATTAGGGTAACTCCTTCACCACCCTGAGGGTACCTGTAGAGGCTTTTTATAAGTTTAGAGGAAGAGAAATGACTACCTACTTCCCAGGCGGCGAGGGGCGTGGGGCAGGGCGGTGGGGCAGGCTCCTGGAGAATGGCAAGGTAGGGCTTGTGGGCAGAGCGCCTGGGCTACAGGGCTACAGTGCTACGAGGTGGGTGAAATACCTTGTTAACTTGCCTTTGGGGCAGTATGCCATGGAAGGGGTTTGTTTTCTATGATATTGAAGCAATACGGCCAGAGTTGAGCTGACTAGTTATGGCTTAGCTGAAGTAGTCCCAGAGTAAACATACCAGATTTGCTGAAAAAGAAAGATTCTGAAGCATTTACCTATTCTGTCGTCTTCCGTTAAGCATTTCCTGAGGATGACTCAGAGGTCTGCTTATTTTTTCCAAAGAACAAAACATGGACTGCGGGGTGGGGAGGGGTGTTAAATTTTTTTTGCTTAGGAAAAATCTTTGGAAGTTGAATACTTCGTTTTTATTTATTTATTTATTTATTTATTTTTGTAATTGGGGATTGGAGAAAGACTTAAGCTCAACTCAGTAACATGCCTTGTTTGCCTTACCGTTGTAATTACTGCTCAAGAGAGAGACTAAGTTGCTTACTTCTAGCTCTTAGGCTGCTCGGGGGTGACTGTTGTTAGAGTTCCCTTGAGATAATGATTCTTCTGGGTCAGTCTGAAGAAACAGTCTGCAACAATGGCAGTCCCCAGGGTGACACTCTCGAGGGGGCCTAGATTCAGCTGTCAGTCACCTTCAGCCCAGAGCCATCAAATCCATTTACACAAAAGCTGGTTATCACAAACCTTTTGAAAAGCTAAGTAAAGAGGAGATTTACCCATCCTTGAATCTTCATTCTTTTTTCTTTGATTCCCTGTTTCTCTTATCTTTCCTTTTTTTCCTAACCACCTCTGGGAACTTCTGGGATTTTTTCCCCTTCTTTTGTTCCACCCTAGAGCTTACACTATTGTTATCTTAAAGCTTGAGCATAAGCTTGAATATAACTCTCAAGATACACAGAAATAAATACCTGGTACTCTTGTATAGAAACTTTTAATTCTAATAAGTATTTTTGTTTCCAAAACGGTAGGATTTTCTGGGGGTTGGGAAGGGCTTGTTTCATGCTGTAATGTTGAAAAACTGAAATTCTGTATTTTAAGTATTTCTTCAAGAGTACATTTGTCTATGCATATACATTCATATATCCTTTCTATTGTATGTATACCTTTTAATTACTTTTTTAAACTTTTACAGTCATGAGACTGTAACATGAGAACCTGAATCAGTTTGCAACTGAAATGACCCTCCGCACCTTACATAAATGTGAAAACATTATTTTGTTATCTAAATATTACTAAATTTCAAATATAGCCATTATTTATGTGAATTTTGTAACTTTGCAATTATAAGGCGCTGCTTTCCTTTCCCTGGGAGAAGGAGCAATTCTGGCTTGCTCTAGAAATTCTGATCTTCTGGACATCATAATGGCATCATTATAAAAAATTGAATTTAACAAAGTGAAAGAGTTTTAATTAGGGAAAGTGTAAATAAAATATTACATTAAAATAGAAGTATTTTGTTGATGTGAATATGGTTGCTAGAATTAGACTAACAAAATATTGCCTAGATAATGCCTTGAGGGGGTATTTGTGATGATAATTAGTTTGTCAATTATAAGAAATTTTAGTGTCATAGCTACAGATAGAAGCAGCAGATTATCCTAAGCGTGGAAGAGATAGCAGTCCTGGTAAGAAGGGCAGGTCAAGAAACATCTACCCTTATGGCAAAAATAAAATAAAATATAAAATAAAATAAAATAAAAAATAAAATAAAATAAAATAAAATAAATATAAGATAGTTGGCCTGCTGTGGCAGGCCGTATCACTAAAGCCAGTACTGATTATACCAGTTGCATATGATATAGCCCAAGTTAGTTCAGTCCCCCACCTGGTCCCTGATCCCTTTCCAGTGACTACCAAAAGAACACCCAATATTCCATTTTGTTTTCAACATTATTTCTTGAGCATTGACTACACTTGCCAGAACACAATAGTAGAACATTCCTAAGTAGCTTACACGTAGTGGAAAGAACCAGCACCACGTAGGTTTTTGAGTGTGCTCCAAAACAAATTGTCGTCAAGTAAACACTGTGGAATCTTATTTTATAACCTTAAAATGAATTTGCCCATTCAGATGATGAATGTCCCAGAAATGTTGTTAGCATTTGAGGATATAAAAATCAACAAAATAGGGACTGTGTCCCACCATAGCTTATGATCTCACTGACTTAGTAGAGGCCACTGTTACCTCTTCAGCAACTTAGATCTGCACAGTGTGGTTTTTGCCTCTCTCCTGGGTGTCTTTTCTAGACACTTCATTTTCTTCACACCATATTCCAAACATGTGAGGTTTTTTTGGTTTCTGTTATTTGCTTTCAGTTGTTGGAACATGTCATGTCTTATTCATCTCACGGTCATTGGGATGATTGTGGTCCAGGTTTATAAAATTTTATTGTATGGTTCACCCCTGTACTTTGAGGAAAGTAGAGGTAAATTATTAGCTTTTATAGTTGGATGTTAGCTCTGGTGGGAGATTTAGATAATTTAATCCACTAGACTCTGATAACAGTGTATTAAATGTATGAAACAAACTCTTCATACTATGACTCATCTGTTTGATACTTTTATTAGTTGACTTATTTTTTCGTATGTCACTTTCACCATTTCCACAGTGTGTGTCTCAATACATATTATACAGTGTATTCATTTCCTGAGGTTTCCCTTGACAAATTACCATAAATTGAGTGGCTAAAACACTAGAAATTTATTCTCTTCCAGTTCTGGGGGGCTAGAAACCTGAAACCAAGGCATCCACGATGATCCACTGAAGTTCTGGGAGAAAGTTTCTTCCATGCCTCTCACCTAACTTATTACAGCTGCCTACAGTCTTTGGCATTCCTTGCTTTATAACCACACAAGTCTAATCTCTGTTCCTGTCTTTTTGCCTCCTCTTCTATCTTGTGTCTCTCTTCTGTGAATCTTCTTTAAGGATGTTTGTCATTGGGTTTAGGACCCACCTAATTTCAGGATGATCTCCTTTTCTCAAGATCCTTAACTTAATTACATCTATAAACATCCTTTGTTTGAATAAGGTAACATTTACAATCTGTAGGAATTTTATGTAGACATATCTTTTGGGGGACCACTATTCAACCCATTATATATGGGAATTTATTAATTTTACATTTCATATTACTTATGTGTTTTCATTCCAAAAGCAAATCACCCATGATGCCTTTAATATGGTTTAAGTGACTAATGTGTGTATTCAACATTGAACTTGAAAGCTATATTTAATCTGTCAAATTTTATGATTAGGAATTCCTATAAAATTTTGATGATCTGGTTCTAGGATTTTAAGAGTTTTACTGAGGAAAATATTTGGTTATAGGAAATCACATGTCCTTTTTCCTTTTCTCTGTAATGTAGGTTTATTTTCATTTCATTTCTAAGAGGAAGAGGCTGAGGTAATGACTATCAAAATCAACCATATATTATAATCATTTGTTTGAAGTGCACTGACAAGGAATTAATGCTTTAATAGAAAAATACATTAGAGTGGTGCCTGGGTAACTCAGTCGGTTGAGTGGTGAGCTTCTAAGATTTTGTTTCAACTCAGGTCGGGGTCTCACCATTTGTGAGATCAAGCTCTGTGTCAGGCTTTGCGGTGGCAATGTGGAGCCTGCTTGGGAATCTCTCCCCCTCTCTCTGTGCCCTTCTCCTGTGCACACACATCTCTCTCAATATAAATAAACATTTAAAAAGGAGGAAAATACATTAAAGAAACATGCCAATTTCAGTTAACAATAATTGGGGAAATGTAGCAAATATTGCTCCCAGAATGGTCTTTTATGTATATGTATTTTAAGTTTTTATATTTAGTAATAGTCTTACTTACAATAAAAGATTAGAAAGGGAAATGTGTTCTTTACTATATACATATAAAATAATTGTTGGTAGAAATAGACCTGGGTGTTTGTTAGCTGAAATACTGACAGATTACAACTGAGCTGATTGGTTCTAAGGATGCTTACAGTTTTCTTCTTTTCTTTATTCTTTCTTTCTTTCTTTCTTTTGGGATTATGTTTCTTGTTTTGGGATTATGTTTAGCCAGAATTCTTTTCTTTATTTAAAAAAAATTTTTTAATGGTTATTTATTTTGAGAGAGAGACGAACAGAGTGCAAGTGAGGGAGGGGTAGAGAGAGAGGGAGACACAGAATCCGAAGCAGGCTCCAGGCTCTGAGCTGTCAGCGCAGAGCCCAATGCGGGGCTCAAACTCATAAGTTGTGAGATCATGACCTGAGCCAAAGTTGGATGCTCAAGTGACTGAGACGCCTAGGTGCCCCGCCAGAATTATTTTCTTAAGCAAGTAAAGTAGGTAGTTGAGAAATAGAGTAACAAGAAGAATGTTAGGGAGGAAACAATGGTTTAGAGAATGGCATTTCAAGAAAGGAAAATGACATTGGAAACAAAAGTGTGAGGGATTTCAAAATAGCTATATTATATATGAAAATGTGTGTAAAAGTACTAAAAAATAGTTCTTAAATGGAAAAAAATTACAATATAATGCATTGTTTTATTAGATTGGAAATCAAAAGACAATTTCTATTTCTAACTCAACTTTGTAGGAACTTATGGTCTTCCCAACATTACACATATTGTCAAAGTCATGACAGTCCACAGCTTACCTAAACCTTTCCATTGATTACTTAGGAGCTCTATGACCTAGTCAGAGAGTGTTTCTGTCTCAAGTTTTCCTTCTTAACATAGGAAGAATACCTATCATCGGTGCTTTTCCCGTTGATAATGAAAAAAAAAAAGTGAT